AGGAGAATACACCCCATCTCTATTCTGTAAAAAATAAAATACACATTTTCATCAAAATAACCTTTCATCTAAAGTTATCCAGGAAGAAATAATCTAGCTGTTCCTCTTTAAAAGGAAGGCAGGCCATACAAGGGAAATGGCCCAAGTACTAAGAGCCACTTGTAATTGCCTAAAAAATATATATCAATAGTCTCATTTTTCTTTAATAAAAGGAAGAAAAAAAGAGAAACCAAAACAAAAAAGAAGACAGTCTGTACTAATGTCCAATACATGAGATAGAATAGCAGGAAAATTTAGGACTTTTATCAAGGAAACAGAAGTCATCCAACTGAACAAAGTCATTCATTGTACAACTCAAATGTACAAAGAATGACAATTTCATTTATTCATCAAATATTTACTGAGAATTTACTAGGCTAAGCAAAGGACAAAGTCATAACTAACCAGAAATGACAAAGTCTCCATTCTTAGGCAGCTTACAAAATAATGAGAAAGATAATAAACACACAAATGTGCAGTATTTGTAAGCACTGTTGAGACAATTGAAGCAGAGGAAGAAAGAGAGGAAGGCTTACGAAAGGGTAAGAAAAGGCAGCCCTTAACATCTGAACAAAGACCTACCAGAAGTGAGACAGGAGCTTAGAAAAGCACACAACAGGCAAAGGAACACAGATCCAGCGCCCTGGGGTGGGAAAATGCTGGTATATATGAGCAATTAGAAGGGAGAAAAGTAACTGAAACAAAATGATCAAGTGAGGAAGGACTTTGGCTTTTAAGATAAGTTAATTACACTAAAACTATCTTACTTGTAACAAATACAAATGAGCCTGATACCCAGTAAAGTCGATGTTACATAACTATAAAAGGTTTTTTTAAAATAGAGGTTTATTTCAAACAGCAGCAAAGATGAGGTTAGTGAAAGTCTGTAGGTCACACTTTCTACAAAGCATTTAAGTAGAGAATGAATACTTACAGGACTAGAGATAGTGGTATGGACACCATCTGTACAGCAATGGCAACAAAGAATGGGGAGGCAATAAGCAGAAAGAGACAGTACAGGCTGTAGTGGGGGCCACCTTCAGCAACAGAAGAAGGAGGCAGGGTTGAAAAGATGTAACCTGCAGGAGAAACTGAGTGTGAACGTGTGCACATATGTTGCCTCTGTGTGTGCATGGGGGAGCATTTGCTAGTCATTGTGCAATGTTAAAAACACAGCACTAACTTTTTTTCCTACCTTTTAAAAATTTTTTGACGTTCTAGAAGTTGAAATTTTATATTTTGTCTTCATGACTCCATTTGTTAACACAGGTGAGCATGTCAACCAGAGCCACTTACCATATTTTACTTTATCAATACTTTTTTCCTTGCTCCAGTATGACCTGCTAGTATCCCTGAGAATTGACCACATATTAATGCTAATAACTAAAAGGAAAACTGAAGTGAGAAACCATTTGTAACAAGAAAAATTGAGAAATAAGTATCCATCTGAGAAAACCAAAATGACACTCTCACCAAGTCACACTGTGGAATGCTATCAACTGTATTATTATGCAAGCTATCAACTGCAGTATTAAAATCATAATTCAGCATTTCAATTCCATATGCACTGCCATACTGTACTTTTTAAAATTATCAATGGGTACACACATCATGTAACTTAGTTATATGAAATCATTTTCAATACTTAAAATAAATGCAGAAATGTGAATGTGAGGATGTGATGACAATGAAATGGAGAAACAGTGGCATGATGATCAAGCTGGTTTTAGTTCAAATATTCAAAACTGGTGAAAGAATCTGATATTGTCATATACTCAGTCTTCAGAATTTTTAAATCTTACTATTTTAAAGATATTAATGTGATTAATAAATGATTTCAATGTTGAATAATTGCAAATAAATTAATTTACTTTTTATAATTTAGAAACAGATTTTATTACTATAGATTTTAAAAATAGATTTCAATTTTGCATGAGTGGTTGATGTGACTATTAATTGCTGACTTGATTAAGAGACTCTTGGAGAGGTACCGGGTCATGGGAACACTATACTCATTAATCCACTGATGTTCATACCTGAATATACTATCACGGGGCCCAGCTGGAGAGGCAAAAAAGACTCTCATCATCTTACACTGCTGCTTGGTTCATAAACAACACTACCATATTTCTACATATACTACATTTATTTTTAAAAATTACTAATGCAGGGCAGGGAATGTAGCTCAGTAGTAGAGCACTTGCCTAACATTCATAAGGTCTTGGATTCCATCCCCAGTAATGCAGAAACGGAAAAAAAAAAAAAAAAAAAAAAACCCAATGGTACCAAATGCATACATATCATGTAAAAACAAGAAGATAACAGTTAATGCTGGGCCAAGGATATAGCTCAGGGGCATGGTGCCCGCCTGGCAAGCTCAAGGTCCTAAGTTCAATTCCCAGTACCAAAAAAAAAGTTAATTCTGTGCTTTTATGCAACAGAACAATGTCAACTATCATAAATTAGATAGTAAAATACTATGTTTAATATTCAGTGACACCAAAGCAGTGCTAAAAGAATAGAATATATATCAACATTACTAATCTATGCACTTATCAAAATATTCTCAATTCACAGGAACGCAACACTCTAAAAAGTTCAAGAATTCTGAAACAGAGTATACCACCATGAAGAATACAAAACAATAATAAGATTTCAATCTAAGTAAACTTCTAAACAGCTCTCTTGTTAGCCAAGAAAGGAAAGTCATTTACTAATGGTAAGTCAATTAAATTATGTTTGACTACAACAGCCAAAAAATGTGTCCAGAAAAAACAAACTGGCTTAAATTCATCAACTACACCTTGGTGGAAAAAAAAAAAAAAAAAATGAGGACAAGTGCAGCAACATCAACAGTCAATTAAGAAAAACAAAGTGAATGCCTGAGAACATGGCTAAGCAGTAGAGATACTGATAGCAAATGCAACGCCCTGCATTTGATTTCCAGTGCATGCTCACATGCACCTGTGTGTGCAAATGATTTCAAGTGGTTTTCATTGATGATGTGACTCTTTTTGAGTCAACAAATGTAAATAATGGCTCAGATGCTATTGAGTTAATGTTCAATTACAAGTGGCTGAACAGTTAGTTCCTATGAACATTCTGTATGAGACAATGTATAGGAAATAATATTAGTAAGTAACTTGGCCAAACATTAATTCAGTACAACCTGATGTGGAATCTACTAAGACATATGATATCTTAGTAGATATATTGAGAAAAAAAATATGTGTAGAGCAGAATCTACTAAGATATATCATATCTTAGTAGATATATTGGGAAAAAAATATGTGTAAAGCAGCCTTAGTTGGACATATTTTCAATTTCTACTACTAAACACTAAATTGCTTTGATAGTTTTTAATGCAGATTTAATGATGTAATGAATTTAACTTAAAATTACAAGATAAAATAGCATATGTGAAAAATACTGTGATAAAATCAGAACTTTATCATAGAACTTTATTACAGTATTATCACAACTGAATGACAACTAGCATTCTTAGAATCTCAAGTACTTCCCAAGCTATCAAACATTAAAATGAGAAGGGAGAATTTTGTTCCCATACAAATGTGCAGTGACTATACTTTTCCAAGCTCAAACCATAGGCCTAGTATGGGTTTTTCAGACCACAATGCCAAGTGCAAAATAAATTACCTCGTTTAAAACACCCTTTCATTGTGCAACTGAGGAGATTCCACCTAACCTTCAACTGAAAGCTGTAAATCTGTTAAATAATGAAATGCTAAAAGGCAAAAAACTGTACAAAAAATACAACAGAACTCTCTATATACCTTCTAAGTGATAAATATCTTCAATTAAAATCATATTTATGAACTGATACCAATATTTATAAAACCTGTCTGAGTGAAAAGACATTTTCAAAAATAAAATATATACAATCTCATGGATCAGCATTGAAAGATGAACATTTTATTAAATTCTGATGATACGGAATACTAACTTTAAACCACAATTAAGTTATTTCCCACAAAAATAATTTCATTGTTCTTATTAATAGATCTAAATTACAAAAAGATTTAATAAATGAGTTTCAAACATATCTTGCAGAAAACTACACTGTTCATTTTTCAACCTATCCCTCAACAAAAATTTCTTTTCCAACAATTTAGTAAATGTATATTCCATTCTTCATGGTGAATATGCCAGAAAACTTGAAGTCACCCTTGGCATCTCTTTTTCTCTTGCTCTTATCAACTGGTTTTATTTGCAAAACTGTACCCAGAATCTAACCAAATTTCACCACATGCGCTACCATCCTAGTTCAAGCTACCACCACTGTTCATTTATTCTAACAAACTGGCCTCCCACTTCTTTTAACCCTCCCCTACTTATAGCAACCTAAAATTTCCATTAAAATGTCAAGAGAGATCATGTTACTCCTTGGCCAAAAATCTTCCAATGGTTTCCATCTCACTCAGCATAAAAATCCAAAGTCATTACCAGTGGACTACAAGCAACTGCATGATCTGATCTCCACCTACCCAAGCTACTTCTCGGACCTTATCTCCTCTTCATCTTCCTCAAGCTCTCACAATTTCACCCACATTGTCTATTTGTGTTTCTCCAAGCTTCCTTTTGCATCTATGCCACAGCCTTTAACTTGTTCTTCCACTACCTAAAATGATGTGCTCCCAGATTAACACATTACCTGCTCCCTGGTATGCTTCAAGTCTTCACTCAAATCTCACCTTCTCACAGAGGTCATAAGTGGCTGCCCTGTGTGTGACTATCCTCTCACACTGAATGTTCCACTCTGTAACTCTATTAGTCTGCTCACAGAGTGAAAACAGCTGTCCGCCAATTTGCTCAGTAAATATTTCCTGAATAAATGAACAAAGCAACCAAAAATACCATACTTTTTCCTGTAATGATTCTTCAGCTCATTTTACTTCCATATGTACCATACACGTACATAAATATGAATAAAACTGATTTACCATTGCACTAAGTGTTTCTTCCCAATCAGGCCTCTCTCGGGGGTGAACATTTCTATGTAGTTCTGGAACAAAATCATCCTCTTCAGAATGTATTGAGGACTTCATCTTCCTAGAGATGGAAACATGAGAGAGTGTGATAAGAATTTCCATTTCTATAAAATCTTCCCACTGAATACAATACAAGAAGCAGTAAAACATGATTGATTTTAAGTTCAGTTAAAAGAACTCAAGCGTTGAGCACTGATCCTTTATTTGCAGTCTGGTTTTCAGAGATCTTTTCTGATGTGCCAAATATCTGCTTTTACTCCAGGACACAAAAGTAAGGTTTAAAACTAGTTAACTTTTATGGTTAATGGTAGTTACCATATAAACGATGATCTTTTCACTGTTTTGATCTTTTCAGCACAATTTAAACGTTGAAAAAGCTCTACCACAGCAATCATTTACACCAATACCTGTAGAACTGTACTAAGCATTAGTAAAATTACAGAATAAAAGAAACGGGTATTTCTGGTTCCAATCTATGAAGCAGAGTGCATCAAACTAGGACACCCAATGAAATAACTATGAATGCTGGGCAAAACATAAAACTACTGTCTGAAGGCCCAAGAAAGTAACCAATAGAGGAGGCACTTCCAATACAACAACCTCTAAGAGGAGGAAAGCTAATGAGGTAACTCTCACATTTAGTCACTCCCTTTCTTAGTATAAAAAATTCTTCCAAATGAACAGGAAATAAAGCCCAAGGACAATATTAGAACCTGAGGTTTCAGGACAACAAACTAGTCCGACTGTACAAAAACAAACCTGGGGCAAAGCACAGAGAAAGAGAGATACACAAATTGTTAAGAAGAATTAGGCTAAATTTTTATCAAGTTCTTCAAACAGAATTATGATTAATACTTTCAAGGAAATCAAAGAAAAATAGCAAAAGATAAGGTCCATGGAGAAGTAAAATCTATGAAAAATAACTTCAAAACTATAATATAAAGTATCTGAAATGAAGAACTCACTGCATGGGTTTAATTCAGCAATACAACATGCCAAAAGAGAGGATTAGTTAACTGGAAGATAATAGGAAACATCTACATTGAAATACACAAAGAAACATCTTAAGAAAGCATAGAGGACAATTAGACTAGTAAAAAGCTAAAATACAGAATGACAAATTGGTAACTCAGAAAAAAAAAATGAAAAAGAGAGACCAAAGTAATTTAAAAAAATAATGGCTAAAAAATTTTCCAAACTTATGAATGTAATCAAGCTAAAGATCTGAAGTTGTACAAAACTCAAGAAGGATTAAAAACAACAACAACAAAACCCAGCTAGGTATACTACAGTCAAACTAATAAAAAACGAACACTAAGAAAACTTGTTAAGAACAGTCAGAGTATAAAAGACAAACTGACTAAAAGAAGCAAAAACAGTAATGTGATTTTTGACAGAACTTCCTATCTTGCAAATTACCCATTAAAACAGCAAGTAACATAAACTATTTTTGTATAAAAGCTGAAGAAATTTAGTACCAGGAAACCAAATAAACTGATCTCAAAACTATAGCAATATAGGGAAAAAAAGTGAAAAATATGTAAATATTAATGTAAATCCCAAATTAATAATATCATTGATATTTATAATATATAAAAATAAAAGCACATATTAAATGAAAGAAGCCAGACCACATATTGTATGGCCCTCCATCTCCCCCTCCCGCCATATATATATATATATATATTTATTTATTTATATATATTTATATATATATATTTATTTATTCCGTGTGTGTATATATAAAACAGCCAAGTCTATAAAAACAACATACATTGTAACTGTCCAGAATAGTCAAGTTCACAAAACCATTTAGAATATTAGCATTACTCAGAGGTTGGGGAAAAGGAACATGAAGAGTTACTGCTAAACAGTAAGAAATACTTTCTGAAATGTTCTTGAATTAGATAATGGTGGTTACTGTACAGTTTTGTGAATATATTAAAAACCACCTAAAAGCATGCTTTAAATTTTTTATACCTATATGTGAATTCTGTCAAAAAATAAAGAAAAGACAATGGGCAAAAAATTCCAGTTAGAATCAGAGGCTATAAGAATAAATTTTAAAAGTTAACAACTGCATCCTAAAAACATACATACTTGAAAACAGAAGAGCACCCCAAAAAAGTGGAAAATAGAAGCAGAAAAAAGAGAACAGCTTAGCAACACTAACATAAGTCAAAGTAGGCTGTCGGTAAAAGATATCACTAGAGATTAGAGACATTTTCTAATGATAAATGCATCACATTTATAAGTTGATATAATTACATGCAATGTTGTAAATAAATTTGTCATCAACAAATAGCATGGCTTTTACATATATAAGGCAAAATCCAAAAGAACTAAAAGAAAATTAGATAAACCCACAATCAGTTGGCAATTTGTTAAAACATCTCTCAGTAATTGACAAAATAAGCAAAAATAATCATTAAGTACATAGATGTAAACAATTTCTAATTTCAACTTTCCCATTTTCAGCTAATATAGAATGTTAAACCTGACAACTACAGAATTTACACATTACTGTATTTTCAAATGCATATGAAACATGTATCAAGTTATTATATACTAGACAATAAAGCAAATGTCAACAGGTAACAAAAATTTACACCATGAATTACATATTTTGTGACAACCACAAAATTACATTAAAAGTCATCTACTGAAAGATAACTAGAAATTCCCCTAAGCATTCAGAAATTAAGAAACACAATTCTAAATTATTTGTATCAAATTAAATCAATGCAAATTATAAAGTATTTTTATCTGAATAAAGATATAATAGATAAAAATGTGTGGGATATAGCTAAAGCAGTATTGCAAAATTTGTAACTCTGAACACAGATTGTTGGACATGAAACAAGTTAAAATCAATGTTATTCCATCACACAAGAAGCTAGGAAAATAGTAAATTAATCCAAGGAAAGTGTAAACAAAAATCATTTTTTAAGTAACAAAACAATAAAATAGCAGGTATACAACAAATATCCCAAAGAAAAACAGCAAAAGATAAGGTCCACAGAAAAGATAAAGCAGGTATTCCCAAGAAAGTATCCTTAACAAGGCTGATCAAGAAAAAATAAGATACAATATACAGAATGAAAAAAAAGGTATAACTAGGAAAACCATGGACATTAAAAAAAAAATTCTAAGGACAACAGAAACAATTTATTTCAATGTACTATACTTGAGAATCTAGTTGAAATCAATACAACTAAAGAATACAACCCCAAAACTGAAACAAGAAAACAAAAAATCTGTACTCTTCTAGCTATGAAAGAAATTAAATCTCTAAGAAAAACAGGCTCAAATGCATTCATTGTTGAATTCTTTCAAACATTTAAGAAATAGTAACATTCTTATATGCATTCTTCCTAAGTACCAAAAAAAATATTTCACGACACATTTAATGAGACCAGGCCTACTTTCAAAACAAAACCTGATAAAAAATATTACCAGGAAACTACAGTTTGAGAATGAACATAGATACAAAACTAGTAAACAAAATAAGGAAGTCGAACTCAGTAGTATACCCAACAAATATACAGTGACCAAGTGAGTTTTGGTCCAAAATGCTAGCTGAGGGGGCTAGGGATTTAGCTCAGTGGCACAGCACCTGCCCTGCAAGTACAAGGTCGTGAGTTCGATCCCCAGTACCACGAGAAAAAAAAAAATGCAAGCTGATTTAACATTCTAAAAGTCAATCTATATAAATGACCACAGTATTAAAGTGTGTTGTGGGGGTTATATCTCATATCAATAGATAAGATTTAATACCTACTTACATATTTTTAAAAAGTATTTTAATGGAGGTTATTCCAAAAACACAGCTAACGTAGTACTTAAAAGATGATTACTGAATGGTCTCCCACTGAGTTCGTGAGCAAGCAAGAATGTAATCTTCAATAAAAAATTATACTTCAAGTCCTAGTTTTTTAAAAAGGAAATGGAAAGAAAAAATAAATGAAAGGCATAAAAATCAGCAAGGGAAAAAAATCTTATTATTTTAAGATAACACAATCTGTACAAAGACAATGAAAAAGAGTACAAGTAATTTAGAATAATATAATCATATAGCCCATATGTAAAAATAAATATATTCATATATACCAGGCTATACAATTACTTATTAAGTCAAAAGTATGTACATCAATAACAATAATTTAACTACTTTTCATAAAATAGAATATTCCACAAAAAATTGTTGCTGCCACTTGCAACAAGTAGATATAGATATTGAGCAAACAGAAGCCAGTTTATGCTATATAATTCTATTTATAAGAAGTTCAGTCATATATTGAGTAGGTACTATATAATTCTATTCATATGAATTTCAAGGACATGCAAATTTCTTAAAGTATGTGCTGTATAATTCTACTTACATGAAGTTCAAGGACATGCAAAAGTAATTTATTGTGACAGAAAGGAGTATAATGGTTACCTTTGGGGCAGGGGCTGACTGAGAGGGTCAAAGGCTGTGTCAAAAAAATGTCTCGATTGGATTGTGATTATATAAGTGTATACACATAAATAAATTCACCAAGCTGTATACTTATAATTGGTATATCTTATTATATGCAAGTTATATTTCAATAAACATATAAAATAAAAAGTTTATTGGCAAACTATCCATTAATACATAGGTATAAAATTATATTTATATTGTGCCATGTAATAAAAAAATCAACTCCATAAAACTTAGTATTTACTTATTTTGCTGATTCTTTTGTTCAGTACTTTAAAATTATGCACAAATTTTGGCCACAGAGTATTTGGCTATAGTTTTAGATCTGACAGTCCACTGTATTAATGGTTGCCAACTGTAAAACCTGAGGAAACTAAGGCTACATTTTTTACAAGAACTTTCTGTAAATCATCATCAGACTTGAAGATGGATATATTCAGTCAAAAGCAAAAACAAAAGAGAAAAATACTTTCTTCAAATAGGTTATGGATGGGCCTTACCATCTTGCTGCTTCCTTGTTTAAAGATTATTTAAATTATTAAATCTTCAACGTACACTCACTCTAGTTGTACAGGATTCCTGCCTATATCTCGTAA